GGAGGACTCCGAGGTGATGATGTGTCACTGGGCCCGCCGGCCGCTGAGGTGCCCGGAGGAGCCGGCGTCTGCGCTTCCCTAAGCCCCCCCACGGAAAATGCACTGATGTTCGCTGTGAATAACGTTCCACCGCAGTATGGTTTCTCTCTGCAGCAACTAATGCTATGTTGTTATCCTTTGACAGACTTTCGTTTTGGTTAACTGATGACTGTTAATTTTTGATTCTTATTTGACATTATGCTACAAGGGACACGAAGGAAAGTCTTCATAGATGAGCTTTTTAAAAGCACGTAATAACAACAAAAATGTTATTTAATACAAGTGAACGAATCTCTCTCTAAATGTATGCCTGTTATTCTTTTGAACTGTTAAACAGAAAATTAGAACATCTGTTTTTAAAGAACAGAACTGGAATCTCTGATTTGTGAAGAGTCATGTGGGACACAGCAGAAAGCTAATTTGAAAAAATAAATTTAATACATATCTTAACAGCAAGACCAATGTTCTATTTAAGCTTGGTCCCAGATAGAAGGCGATTAAGTCTTCTGTAAAGCAACAACAATCAGCCGCTCAGGTGGTTGAGTACTCCACTGAAAAGTTACTTTGAAAACTGCTCTCTAGTTGAGGAGACCAGAGAATTTTGTGAAATTAAAGATTTGTTGGCTAGTCAAGCTCTTGCAGTACTTACAAGTATTCAGTGTTGGTTCCTTTCCTTCCCAGATGCCATACCAAGTGCAGATCAGATTCGTATAACGACATCCTTGAAAAGCCAAAGAGGATCAGTGTGGACAAAAAACAAGTCAATATTTGAACACTGGGAAGTCGAAGTGACCTTTCGAGTTACAGGAAGAGGCCGCATTGGAGCTGATGGATTGGTATGAAGAATTTTATCAAACTGAGAAAGAGCAGACGTGCTTTAAAAAGTGAATCCTGACTTACGACTCTCACTTGCTTCCTGTAACAGGCAATCTGGTTTACAGAAGAGCAAGGCTTGGAAGGCCCTGTTTTTGGGGCAGCCGATAAGTGGAATGGTGTTGGGATTTTCTTCGACTCCTTTGACAATGATGGAAAGGTCAGTGGGAAGCAAACTCTTCTAGCAAAGATTATAACTTAATTTCCTGCCGGTTTTATATGCACAGCTTTGTGGGGAAAAAAAAAAAGTTCTTTTCCTACTCTTGTCCTGTCACTTCAAAAGGGTGAATTACAAGAGTCAAGTTTCCCACTATAGAACTTTACTAGCCTTTTTTTCCCCCACGTTCTTTAAGCAGGGAGGTGAAGGATAACGCATGATGAAATCTTCACTGCGTGTTGGCTCACGTGTTAGGTTTGGAGGGAAAATACCACGTGCGTCTGTACAAGCTGAGATTTGGGATGTCCTTGCACAACTTGAAGTGCTGATCGATCTGAAGATGTGTGTGTGTAGGAAGAGGCATATTGTTCCAAAGTGTGATGCTGTGGAAACACACATCTCTCCGTCTGTCTTCAGAGATGCTCTTTTTCTTGGAACAAACCTGCCCTGTGGATCTGTAGCAGATGGGGGTGACAGTTGCTATTTTGAATTCCTGTTTTCCAGCCCAGAATGATCCTGGGAAACATTAACAATATAGAGCAGGTCTGCTCTGCTTTTTTTTTTTTTTGCTTTTCCTGCACTACTTTGGCTTGCTTCTAGATGTTTTAGATACACTCTTGCAGGTGTACAAGCTTTTTTTACTACAGATGGCTTTTGATACACAGCAAACTTCATCATATATAAAAGCTGAAAGACTGAAGGTGACATTTATGTTTCTGATCTTCAGAAACAAGACAGAATTGGAGTACTGCTCAACTTATTAACAGTTTTTAAGTCCTTTTCCTTTTTTTTCTGACATCTGGCATGGGTATGGACACTGATGTAAGTTTAGTCGGTGTGCAGTGAAACTTTTGCTTGTCTATTTTTAGAAAGTGATGATGTGTCACTTCTGGTCAAAACAGAAGTCGTCACCGTGCCTGTATTGGTCTGATGTGTCTTAAGTGCTGAAATTTGTCAGACTTGTTTAATGACAGCCTGTAACTTCAGTCCCAGTATGGAGAAATTCTTGCTGCTGTCCGTGTGCTCACTGGAAGACGTCTGGTGCTGTAACTGGTCCTCAGTCTGGGATGCTATTATCCAGAAGTAAACTTCATCTACTACTGCCAGCTCGGAGCACCCTGCTGATGATGCTCATTTAAAACCCGCAAAGCCTGAGCAGAAGCGATACCAATGTCGAAGCAATTAAGCCAACCAAACTCCATTGTTTAGAAGTCTTGTGTTCCTGTAAAAATGGGAGTTCACTTCATAAACTCCCGGAGGCACCAGAATAGCCCCGCAGATCTGTTCTGCCATGATCGTTTTAGCTTGTTCTTGTCCTCCAGCCGTTTCAGTAACTGCGGCTGTGTTCAGTGGACTTTGTTTAGTCTCTGACAGATAGGCAGCTCCTGGGGTTTTTCTGATGACTCTGACAAGGTCAGCAGGATGTCAACATAGTCTGTCTGGATGCTTTTCCTAGTGTTACGTAGACAAAGTTGGATGTATCGAGTCCTCTGTTGGTTTCAGTATCACTGTGTACTTATTTCTTTTATCTGTGGCCTTTATATTTCTGTATTTGTCAACTGATGGCAATTGGTAGTGTATCCAGGAACTGGTGTGGCGTGGGTTTTTTCACCCCCCACCATGCGATGAATGTGGTGGTCCCTTGCAAAGCGTGCAGAGGGACACGGTGCTCCTCAGTCGCTGTGCATGTGTAGTCCTGAAGTACAGGAAGAAGAGAAACATCGGTGGTGCATCTGTAGTGGAAAGACTTCAGGAGCTTCGTCGCAGAAAGGCTATCAATGATGTTACTTACATTTCACTTCAAATTAAACTATTCCATTCATTTGCTATTTCTTTTTCCAGAAAAACAATCCTGGAGTGATCGTTGTAGGCAACAATGGAAAACTTCTGTATGACCATCAGAAGTAAGTTTGTTTTCGCTGTTAAGGATGAAATGTTGCATGAAACTTTTTGAGAAACACTATAAAGTTTTCTTTCAAATGAAACTGTATTGTTTCCTTTACATTTGAGTTTTTCTGTCTGTTAAAACGCTGTTTTGGCAGTAACCGCACAGAAGCGGTGCATATTTAATGGCAACTGTCCTCTGGGATGGATGAACTCAGATAAATGGTGGTGCAGGTGTTTTACCTCTTCATGGCTTACGGTATCTTCCACACACAGCTAATAGCAGACAGAAGTGACTAACTGAAAGCTAATGGCCTGATATTAAAATTAATTGGTTTAATTTTGATTGTTCATGGTCAGCAGCACAATTTACATCTTTTTGGATCCTCTGAGAAGTGTCTAGCTCAGCTGGTGCAGTCTGGACTACAGCTCATTTCCATCTCAGTTCACGGTGTGGGAACACCTTAGAAGCAAACAGATTTCCCCATGCCTGCTTTCTGTCTGTGTCCTGTGTGAAGCATCTGTTGATCTCGGACTTCAGAAAAGCTCAGTGCAGTTGTGGGACAGCTTTCAGAAAGCTGTATGTTGAAAAAGCTATCGTGATGTTGCTTAGTGATACACTGATGCTTTTTTGTCTTAGCTGATAAATCATAAGATACAGTTTTATGCAAGTTGTCTTCTTGCTCAGTGATGGTTCCACGCAAGCGTTGGCATCCTGTCAGAGGGACTTCCGCAACAAGCCCTATCCTGTCCGAGTAAAGATAACGTACTACCAGAAAGCATTGACTGTAAGTACTCTGACATAACATCATTACTAGCATCTCTCAGCTTTTTAAGTGCAAGAGTGTTGCAACTATTTGAAAACGCAGAGAGCTCTTATGTTAATTCCAGTGTTCTCGAGACGTTGGGCTCAGTAGCAGAAGTTGGCAGGAGGTGCAGTGCATTCAAATGCTGGACAAGTTTTTCTGGCTGCTTCAGTGCCCCTGCAGTTTCCCGAGCTGACTCGGCAGGTGTTTTTCTGACGCTACGCTGGGGTCAGTTGTGCTGACTATCCATAGGTATTAGCCATAAAACACTCAGCTGTTAATTTGTAGTAAAAGTTTCTCTAAAAGTAAACACTAATGCACCTAGCAGGGGGTGGACCTTGTACTGTGCTGTAATGGCAGAAGTTCTCTGTTACCCTTGAATGAGAATTAAATTTCGGACTCCAAGGCTGCTCTCTCTTTTAAAGCGCCTGGTCCCTGTTGTCTTATCCAGGAACGCCTCAGGACTGAGTGTTGCTGCTGACCTTAGCAGCTCTGCAAATGCCTCTGTGGAGGAAGAGAGAATCTCTCTAAGCTTAAAGTCAACCTAAAAGCAGTAAGGGGTAACTCTTCTAGATCAGACTGGAAATTTGTGTTGCCCAGAACCTTACTGGGATGTATGCTTTTGATAGGCTGGCCTTTAATGATCCCCAAGTCAGGGACTATTACTATGCCATGATCAGTTTTAGAACAGAGTAACTGTGTTTGGAAGGGACCTGCACCGATTGTCCAGTCCAACTGCCCGACTACTTCAGGGCTGACCAGAGGTTGAAGCAAGTTATTAAAGGTGTCGACCGAATGCCTCTGAAATGCTGACAGGCGTGGGGGATCGACTGCCTCTCCAGGAAGCCTGTTCCAGGGCTTGAGCACCCTCTCGGTAAAGAAATCCTCGTGTCCAGTCTGAGCCACCCCTGGGGCAGCTTTGAGCCATTCCCAGGTGTCCCATCACTGGGTCCCAGAGAGAAGAGGCCAGCACCAACTTAAATTTTTCCATTAAATTTTCCACTTAAATTTGAGAAGAAACTTCTTCTCAGTGAGGGTGACAGAGCACTGGAACAGGCTGCCCAGAGAGGTTGTGGAGTCTCCTTCTCTGGAGACATTCAAAACCCGCCTGGACGCCTTCCTGTGCAACCTCATCTGGGTGCTCCTGCTCCGGCAGGGGGATTGGACTAGATGATCTTTTGAGGTCCCTTCCAATCCCTAACGTTCTGTGATTCTGTGATTCTGTGTAACTTCTCCACGTCCCCTCCTCAGCAGCTGCAGAGCAATGAGGTTGCCCCTCAGCCGCCTCCTCTCCAGATGAGACAAACCCCAAGTCCCCAGCCGCTCCTCACAGGCCGTGCCTTCCAGCCCTTCACCAGCTTGCTCACCCTCTTCTGCGTTTCAGTAGACATTCGAGTACCTTAACATCCTTTCTAAAACTGCAGGGCCCACAGCACTCGAGGTGAGGCCGCAGCAGTGCTGAGCACAGCGGGACAGTCCCTTCCTGACCCGCGTCCCGCCGTGTTCGATGCACCCTGGGTGCGCTTTCCCCTCGCGTTGAGCCTGCTGTCAGCCAGCAGCCCCAGGTCTCTGCGGGGCTGCTCCCCAGCCACTGCTCTCCCAGTTTAGACTTGTCCAGCATTTCTGTGTCCCTGGTGCAGAATCCAGCACTTGGACTTGTTATGTGCTGCTGCTGATTGCCCAGTGCTCCAGCCTGTCCAGGTCCCTCTGTTCACGTGGAACTTTGACTCGGGCCTTTTTTTCCTTTCTAAAATAGAAAGCTTGTGCATCTACTTTGTAAATGTATCTTTCAAAAAAGAGTGTTTTTTGATTTCTAGTACTGGCTGCTGGATTGCCCAATAAGTTGTATTTGTGACCATTACTGTAAACTGACAGAGCAACTAAAACAAATGGATTTATGTGGCAAAAACTGTGTTTATCCTTTTAGGTACTAATTAACAATGGCTTTACTCCGGATAAAGAAGACTATGAATTTTGTGCGAAGGTGGAAGATATGGTGTTGCCATCACAAGGATATTTTGGCATATCTGCAGCAACAGGAGGACTTGCAGGTAGCGAATGTTAAAAATCGTGGCAAATGGCGTGGGGACCTGCAGGGCTTCCACGAGCATTTTTTCCTACTGCTGGAGTTGATCCATTATACCAAATTTGTACCACGATGATGCAATTAGTCCTTTCCCATCCCTCGCTGATAAGCTTAGGCCTTTTCCTGGCCAGAGCAGAAGGACTCTGTTTGTCCGGACGAAGGGGTTGTGCAGACCTGTTCCCTGCTGCGTGAACTCCTGGGAGGACTTTGGGGGGATGCCATTGCCCAAAGGTCCTTGCAGGTGCCGAGCTGACCTGGGAAGTACCACAATTTGTAACGTGTAGCAATTAACACTGGGTTTTTGTTTTGTTTGTTGAATACAGATGATCACGATGTCCTGTCTTTTCTGACCTTCCAGTTGACCGAGCCTGGGAAGGAAGTAGTAAGCATCTTTATCCATAATTAGTAAAATATGTTACTGTATGTGTTTTATATGTAGCACCAGATTACGGCATTTTCTCTGAAGTCATACTTGGCATCCCAGTTTCAGGATTTTGACATGCAGCGGTGCTGTTACCTGTTTCAGAAAAACTGGACTAATACTGTAACGTTTTCGTAATAATTAACGCTTTCAAGACGAGAATTCTTGACGTGACACTGAATCAACAAAAATCTTGATCACACAATCCCAGACCGTTAGGGATTGGAAGGGACCTCCAAAGCTCATCCAGTCCAATCCCCCTGCCGGAGCAGGAACACCCAGATGAGGTTACACAGGAAGGCGTCCAGGCGGGTTTTGAATGTCTGCAGAGAAGGAGACTCCACAACCTCTCTGGGCAGCCTGGGCCAGGGCTCTGTCACCCTCACTGAGAAGAAGTTTCTTCTCCAATTGAAGTGGAACCTCCTGTGTTCCAGTTTGTGTCCGTTACCCCTTGTCTTGTCATTGTTTGTCACTGAGAAGAGCCTGGCTCCATCCTTGTGACACTCACCCTTTAAATATTTATAAACATGAATGAGGTCTCCCCTCAGTCTCCTCTTCTGCAAACTAAAGAGACCCAGCTCCCTCAGCCTTTCCGCATAAGGGAGATGCTCCACTCCCTTAATCATTTAATGATGTTAAATCAAAACGTGCAGAGAAAACAAACTACCAAGTATGCTTAATCTGTGCTTGCGTTCAGCTTCCCATCCCTCTAGAACACGTCTGTGGACAGCATCTGTCCTTGCAAAACTTGAATTCATTTTAATTGTGGAAAGTATGTATTTATCAGGGAAAAATTATTGGAATGTCTGGTTTCTCACTTCAACTTAATATACTGATGTGCTCCACTAGTTGTGTTATGTCTTCAAATCTGAAATCAGAGCAGCCTTGCTGGAGAATGTTGTATAGAAATGGTGGAGAACATGAAAACCTCTCTCCCCCCCCACCCTCTTTGATAATGTTTTAAAGCCAACTCCAGATGCAGAAATTCCTCAAAAAGATAAAGAGAAGTATCAAGAAGAGTTTGAACACTTTCAGCAAGAACTGGATAAAAAGAAAGAAGAATTTCAAAAGGAGCATCCTGATGTGCAAGGGCAGCCAGGCAAGTTATTTGAGCGGTTTTTCAGTTGTCAAGGGAAACGTTGACTTTCCTGGGTACTCAGAACTAAGGCCTGATACTCTGACAGGTCCTACTGAGCTGCTACTGATGTTATTTACTGTAGGAAACTCTTGGTCTTTTGTCTGTAAAGTGTTTTCTGAAACAAAGTCCCTTTTGTCATGACTGGTTTGAGACCAAAACAAACCACACAACCGGATCTGTGTGAACAGTGGGAGAGGACGGCCATGCATCCCTCTCTAAAGCCAGGCAAGGCTTGCTTGGTTCTTTGAAAGGGCATCTTTTTGGTCTGTTTCTGCACATTCATAACACTTTGTTTTCTCCATCTGGTTTCATGGATGGTTATTAAAGATGGGTAGTGGATATGCTGGAACATGTGTTTATTTGGAAAAGCTTTTTAATGCCTGCCTACTACTGGCCATGTATTGAGTTCTGTCAGGGTCAGCACCACAGCATTAGCTGGCATTCAGCATTGGTATTCGGACTGGCTAATATAACCAAATATCCAGCCTGATGTTCTTAAAAAACTGTGGCCTTTAATTTACATTTTAAACTGTCGGTAAGAAATTTCAGTTCAGCTGGGTGAGGCAGAATTGCCCTTCCGACTACTGACACCATGCATTTGCAGCACTCGGCAAGTGTTGGTTTAAAGGTATTTCAGACTGGAGAGACTCACTCAAAATGTGCAGTCACTTCTCTATTTCAAGCTACTTAGTAAAGCTTACTTATGAAAAGTAGCTGTTACTTAATACCCGCAAGACCCTTCTGAAGGAGGGTGGTAATCCAGCGCTAGTCAGACGGCCGCCTCCTAACGATACCCGCATCCCGTTCCCGTCTTGTGTTGTGCATTACCCAAGCATTGACATGGAAAGTCTAGAATGGAGTCTGGGTTTGAACACACGGTTCTGCTGTTCTCATCCCAATTGGGTGTCCTTTGCCCTGGCAGTGGTGATAAACACCACATACATCAGATTACTGGACAAGAGTGTCCATGTGGAAACTCGAAGGCCACAAGAAAGATCCAGTGCGGCTCAGGAGGAAAGGGTGTAGGTAAGAGCTACCTGTGCTTCTTTCCTCAGCGGATGATCTTTTTGAGACCGTCGGTGATCGAGAACTGAGGCAAATCTTTGAGGGGCAGAATCGAATTCATCTTGAAATCAAGCAGCTTAACAGGCAGTTGGACATGATTCTGGACGAGCAGAGGAGATACGTCTCTGCAGTCACGGATGAGATCGCTAAAAGAGGAGCTGGTTTTCCAGGTCAACAAGGACAGGTAAATAAAAAACCATCCTGTGGCTGGTAGCTCAGCCTGATTTCAGCAGCGTCAGAGATTTGCTTTTTCCTAGGTGCACAGATCTTTTTTCTTCCCCCACCGCCAGGTTTCCCAGCAAGAGATTGAGACGGTTGTGAAAACTCAAGAAGAGGTCATTAGACAAGTAAATGAAATAAGGTAAATGTTTTCTAAATATGAGGGCTGTGTTCTGAATTTTATATTCTTTTCTGCACCTTTAAAATTCTATTTACTATTTCAGTAGGAGAATACTAACAGATTTGTAATTTCTGTGTCAGTTCCTTGTTTATGACTCTGCGTACATTTAATTTCTATAATAAAGTAAGTTCCTGTTTCTAGGGTGGTCCCTAATTCGCTTTTTACTTTTTATCATGAGATTCTACTTCAACAGACAAGTCCAGTCCCTCTAAAAACGACTGATTTCTGCTAAATTGATAACCTGCTACCTCACGGAAACTTGTTGCTCTTATTTTGGAGTATTGGTCACTCCACAAGCATAAATGCCTTCTATTTATAGCTAGTGACCCTAAACCAAAAAGTGTGTTGGAGTATCTTGTCAATACATGCAGTCTGCTGCTGATGTAATGTTCATATAGGTTTTATTATATTATTGGTTGGCATTTTTATATTATATATCACTTATTATATGGGTGTTACATAGGTTTACTATTCTTATAGGTTTTGCAGTCTCCATCCTTGGAGATACTGGAAACGCAGCTGTGACTAAAAGTGTCGTGGTTTGTTAGGTGCTAAGACGTACTGTAACAGCACTCAAGGAAAGAAAGGAAAGGGGGGAAAATAGCACTCAAATTTCTGTCACGTTACACGGTGAAGACAAATGCACTGGGTTTGATTTTTTCACAAACCCAATGTATTGTGTAGACCATTCTACTAACCGAGTCCCCGTTTCTTGTGGGTTAGAGAACATGAGGTGTGTGGGTTTTGGTTGGTTTACTCTTTTGCCAGAGGACTTTCTGCCATTGAAGTTGTTCAGGAAACTTCTGTATCTGCAGGGACACTTGCAAGTTCCAAGTGATTAATGAATTCTGCTCTTCAGGATGCAGTTTTTTAAATCAGTTGAGAGGTCTGCTGCACCTTTCCAGACTGTTACCAATGAAGTAAAAATCTTATTTTGGAGGTGCTATACTGCTAAAACGGATTTGGAAGGCGTCTGGCAGGGATGTCTGTCTGTGTTTCACGATTGCTGTCTTCAGCCGGAATGGCCTTTGGTTGGTTTAACCCCTCATGTGGAGCAGTTAAAGCATTCCTTTCCTTGGGCATAAGTGAGGCAGAAAAAAGGGCTCCTGCAGTTGCGGGCTGTTTCCTGTAGTGGTTCCAGGGCAGCTCTTGTGCTTTCTCTAAGTAGGTCAGTTTTTGTGGAAGGAAGATTAGAGTGCTTCCATTTTTGCCCTTGTTCTTCCACGAAAGCTTCATGTTAATATTCTTGACAAATCTTTATACCTTGCAAGCAAATTAGATTTCCTTGTTAACATTGGCAGTCTGCCCTTTTAGTGACTACTTACTAGGTATGAGTTTGCGTAACATCATCTTAATATTTCCCTTAGATTAAAGAAATGTTTTATTTATAGAAAGAAATGAACAGCCCGCTGTTGCCTTGCTGGTCATCCCGGAGGAAAAGGACTTACTGTCCGAGTAATTTTCTTGTCAAGATTTGTGGGTTTCTTAATCACCTGATTACAGAAGAATCTCGCATGTTCCTACAATAGAAACCATCAGCATGTATTGTTCAGGCAGAAGTAACCGTAAATTAAATTTGATACAGACAAGTCTGTTTAGGGAAGTTGTTTTGCTTTCAGCGGCATTGGATCAGCCTGGGGGAAGGTGGAAGACTTGTGAACTACAAAGGGATCTTGGTGTTAGGGTGGAGAGGAACAAAACAGTCTCGCAGCTGTGTTCTAGCACTGAAAATAGAGGGGCAAGGTAATGTGGTGGATGCAGACAGAGTCACTATCAGCACTTATTAGGCAGTGGTCATGATGGTGGTTGCATGGGTTATATTAAAAAAAATCCAGTCAAATGTCTAAAACAGGTTATTATAACACTAATTCAAAGTACAGGTACATGTTAATCAATGTAGTTTAAATAATCAAGACAGTGACAATAAAAAATATAAAATAATTTCTGGATAGTTTTATATGCTGATCTAAGCTAGGGCAGGGGAGGGGATTTTTGCATCATTCTGTGTGCAAGTTCCAAACCACAAATGTAGAATAAGAGGAGGTGAGAGCTGCTTTGGTTGGTCTTGTTTGCAGTGGCTTACAGAGGCAAACAGCTGCGTTTTGGTAACTCCTTTCAATAACCTTGCAGTATTAAAAATGAGCTTATTGAGAGACACGCTGGGAGTTCTGCAGAAATCCAGCGCGAACCCCGTGGCTGGAGCGCTGTGCGCGATCCACAGGGCAGGCTGGGCAGGGCAGCCTGGCCACGGCGGGGCCTTGCATCGCGGCCCACGCCACGGGTGACACGGGGGCTGCCAGCACCGCACCTGGAGGGCATCGGGCTAAGCTCTGGTCTGAACAAAATGTGAAGTTTTCAGTAAATTAAAAAGAAATCCAAGGACATACATTTTGATTGCTTATTCTGTTAATAATGAAGAGATTAACATTCACATGATAAATATTTTAGCTGTAGAATAATCCTCTTTGCAACTGAAAAGAGACATCACAGCAGGGGAAAATTATATAAACATATTGATTAGAGATTAAGTATTTTTCTCTCATTGACTAGGTTACCTCAAACAAAATTAGTTAAGGAACCTCAACTTTTTATGGATTTAATTTGATTTGTTGTAGAAGCAAAATTAATTCACGTGAAGACGATATTAAGTATTATGACAACGCATGTGGGAAATGAGTTTCTCGTATAAATGATAATCATGAAATAAGGATGTATCTAAATCTTTTCTTATCCCTAAAGCCTCTTCTTTATTTTTATTTCTTACATGACTGCTTTTATTTATTTATTTTTCAAACAGCTTTTGGTTTTCTTCAAAGATTGCATTAAACTCTGCTTATCCTAAAGCCTTGGCAAGAGCCTCAGATAAAACACTTGTTTCAGGCTTCATCAGTCAGGCACAGCAGATGTCTGGCAATGGAGCATTTGCCAGATCTCGTTTTCAGCGTGACTTCAGGACAGGATGCACTGTACAAATTGAAACTGTCTGTGGGGTTAAATATTTAAAAAAAAACATAGTTTGATTAAGGAATTATTTCTTGATAGGTATTCTTGGAAGCTAGGAACAAAATGTGTTCTGCCTTTTGGGACAACTATGTATTTCAAACTACTTTTAACGAACTAAAAGCTGCCCAGAATACCGGCTGTTAGCAGAGGAGCTGTTCTGTGCGGGAGGATGTTTTGTTGTCTGTCTTGTTTCAGGAATTCCGTGGCTGAAGCTGTGAGGTCCATCAGCGCAGCTCAGCATCCTGGCGCTGCTGCAGGGGGCTATGACACAACCCAGCACTTCAACGACATCAAAGAGCACCTTCATGTCGTCAAGAGGGACATTGAGCATTTAGTGCAACGAAATACGGTAATTTATGTGCTGGTCGTGTAAAGCATGACTGTAATACGTCTTTATTTGGCTGTTAGTGAAAAGCTAGGATGAGCCAGCATGCAATTTACGGAGCAATTAATCCTTCATTAAGCTGCTTCACTAAAACTGCGCTGCTTTGACCTAACTGCATGATCTGTGTCTTGATGAGAAGTTCTGCACAAAGAGCATGATTTTTAGTCTAATTTCCTGTGGAAACAAGGTCAAGCAATTAGGTTTTCTGGGTGCTTTTTTTGTGTTTGTCCCCCTACTTAACAGCTCCATACAGAGGAGATTCCCTGTTGCTTCTGCACAGAAGGGAGAGCTTTAATCAGGGTAAACTCGGGCAGGCTCTGCTTACGGTCTCCAAGCGTGAGGATGGCTGCGTTCGCATCCAGGAGCACCTTCGTCTAGCCTAGGTAGCAATTAAGCTGAATTAGCTTACGATCCCGTAGAAGGTTCTTGATTCCTGGGCTAATTTTGCCAAAGATTTATTCTTTCCCCTATAACCTTCAAATTAACACCAGTCAGTGTATCTGAGAAACAAAGGTAACAGTGAGGTGAGGAGTAAGACTGATTTTTCAGAGTGTTGTCGTTTCTGTCTGGTTTCTGCTTGTGCTCCAATCTTTAGATAGTGTTGCAAAGTCCTTGTTTTGTTTCTTACCCATCACAGTCTATTGATGGCATGATTGTTTGCTTTCTTCTTAATACTCTTTCTTGGTTTTTATAGCCATCTAATGAGAAATCCAAGTGTCCAGACTTGCCACCATTTCCATCGTGCTTATCTACAATGCACTTCTTCATATTTGTAGCGGTGCAAACAGTGTTATTCATTGGTTATATCATGTATAGGTAAGTATGGTTTTGTTTGAAGACAGCAGGGCAAATTATTCTAGAATTTCTGACTGCAAATGCAATTGCAGTGGTATGATTATGTTAATCTTCTTTAAAACAAGCAATCACTCGGATTGGAAGAGACCTTGGGAGCTCTCTAGTTCAACCTGCTACTCAAAGCAGGGTCAACACTGAACGCAGACCAGGTCGCTTGGCGTTTAGACTTGTCAGGTCTTAGAAACCTCCAAGAATGGAAAAACTGCCACTGTTACAGATCCCCTTGGAAAAGTTTAATTATCGTAACGAAGTTTAGTTTCGTTCTCCCCCCATCCCTCGGTAAATCTGTTGGGAACCTGCCCTGTTTCAGTCTGACTGTTGTGCATCTCTAAAGAAACCGTCCCCGTCGCCTCAACAACTCCCGCTGGGCGTTGGACAGGCGCTGTTAGACCCCCTGCAGCTGCCTGTCCAGGATGAACCAGGCCAGCTCCCTCCCTCCCTCTCTTCTCTTGTGCTTCAGCTCTCGAGCACCGTCCTTGTTGTCCTCTGCTGGACTTGCTGAAGTTTATGAGTATCTTAACAAAATGGGATGTGATTTGATGGTTTGGTTTGGTTGTGGGTTGGTTGGTGGGTTTTGTTTGGGTTTTTTTGTGTGCCTACAAGCTACTTATCCCGTCTTACAAATTCCTCAGTGAACTTTTTTTATGATACACATCCCTTTCCTACATGTGATTTTGGTAGTGTCTGGACTGGTTTGGGGTTTTTTTACACTGCCCTAAATTATTGGCATGTTTTCTCTGTTCTCCTCCTCCTTGTAATGTCATGATGTCCAAATTAAATTGGCACTGATGGAAAGGAAAACCTGTTGAGAGCAAGGACTTACTCGCTTGGCAGTCTTTCCCCTGCTTCTCTCACTCATTGGGGTACAGAGCGGAGACTGAAATAGCTGCACTGCCCGTCAAAGAGAAAATGCTGTTTGCTACCTCTGTGGACACGTAACTAGTTTAAACATAAAAGCAATGCTGCCGACAGCACTAACTTTAATTGTGTGTCTGCCTCCACAAAGTGGAGAGAGGGCATTTCTTGGGTGTCATGTTATGCCATTAACTGGAGAGGTGGCCTCCAAGACAAATGAGGAGCTGGTCCCCTCCAGCTCTTCTGGATGCCCTTGTAATTGTAGCATCTGTGAGCGGTCGATCCACAGGGTCTCTGTCCACTGAGAAATTAAAGATGTTCTGTGCCAAAGGGAAGAGGAAATCCCATTTCGAGTAAACTCTTTCC